AAGTATCTGCAGACAACGTAGCTATAAGTTCGGGAATTGTAAAGTAATATAGCAACGAGAGAGAGAGAGAGAGAGAAATGGGGTTTAACGTCCACTCGACACAAACTAGGTCATTTCGGGACTAACATATGGTTTAATTTTATTTACATAATTCGCTTGCGCGTAGGGGTCTTTAGCAGTGGGAGGAAACCGGAGGACCCGGCGACCCTTCTCCTTGCCACGTACAACCGGGGATTCGAAACCACGCCAGTCGACTCAATGACAGACTTTATGATACAGCGCGCGCACGGTAATATAGCAACGTCACGATGATGTAAAACTCGCAGTCGTTGCTTCAGGAACATGTTTACTAGTAACTAAAACTCAACTAATTGTTAGGTGTAATGGCGTTATGGTTCCCTAAGTATCTTAAGCGTTTTGTTCATCCCTGGTGTATGATCATACCTCCACTTATACAGTCTTTGATCTTTTATATGTTTTAACAGAATATGAAATCTTGTCTTTGTGGTTTCATTTTTATTTTTTTAATACTTTTAAAAATGTTCACTCCCCGTTATTTGTATCATTTTATCGTTTACTTGGTGCTTGATAACGACAAGGGAATACTTGTTGAAACGTTGCACTATTAAAATTGCTAGTAATTGTTATACACAAAGTTGTGTTTGTGTTATTTCAATATTTTTCTCTCACTAAATGCCTTCAAAGCAATATAGTTTTCATATATTATGTAATGTAGTAGTTTACTGTCTAACACTTGGCGAAAGATAAGTGGTTTCTAGTATTAACTCGCGGATCTGCCCAACGTAATTGAAAAACGACAAAAATGTAAGCTATCGATCTCTCATCTGCGTTGACCTTCAAGCAATATTTTAAAATTTGGAGCTTTATATTCCATTAAATAAACATACGTTACTTTATATAGTCTGAGATATGGCATGTTTTAGTGATTCGATTCTACAACTCTGAAGATTCTTGGGAGTCTTGTTGCACGACCGTGAATATGTTTATCTTGATTTCCCAGCTATCAGTGGTAAGTCGTATTACAAGTGTAAGAAACCTCGTGTCCTAGGTTAAACTGGAGAAAGAGTGAAGAAACAACATATTATTATTCTACATTCAGAATTTGCAACTTGTTCCAGTCTCTCGTAGTACATCCGGTCTGAGGCTATTCGCATGCCCGAGGCCATTCGCATGTCGGGTTTTTATAAGATCTGAATACAACGATTTCGGATCTATCTTTATCAAGAGTAGCTAATCCACAATGAAATGTACTATAAACATACCTCTTTTCTCTCGGTTAATGTCGATGTGTGTACAAAGATGAGTTATAGTTTCAAAGATCGATTTTACATTGGAATGCCAAAGTAAAACAATATTGATATATAAAAGATATGAAGAAATAGATAGGAAGTGCGTTATGTTATGACGCCCGAAACTATTAACTATAAACAATGTGTAATAGTTTGTCAAATAATCTATTCAGAATTCTTAATGGAGTTATTTAAAAAGAATTGAGTGGAAGTGGGTTTGTTGAGTTATATTAGTTTCACATTTGACATGAACATTGTATGCCAATGTGGAATCGGACGCTAAACCACCAAGAGACGTAGCTTATACTGTCAAAGAGGGATAACCATTTATGCGAAAACTATATAATAATGAAATGGGATAATTAGGTCTGATTATCAATGGTGACTGATGTCGTGTGCGATACTGGCAACCCTTACTCTTTCTAGAGCACGGTTTTGATAATTATCTTGTACTTTTGAATGGCCATGGTCCGCACAGACATACCAGACCAATCCACAAAATAATATTGAAAATATGGGTACATACCACATGAAGGTTACATACAATATCTGCACGAAGTCATGAACTGATTCTTATTCCCCCACACCATAATCTTTGTGCCAAATTTGGATGTGTTTCGCCATAATGACATATGTTGTCGAAACTGAGAACCAAAAACAAAAGTCGTCTGCTATAATATTTTTACAGATCTGCACCAAACAACACTGGGAGTTCGTCAAAAGATATCATGACGAAAAGCTGCTAAATCGATCATACATGAAGCTGACGAGTTGCTTGTCGGAAAGTAAAATGATATTTAGAAAACTAATTTCGCTATTTATTCGTACCATTTTAGTCGGGTAAAGCAAACACACCGATGATATTACCAATATTAGCAACTGGGGAAGATAACACGAAACGAAATGTAATCAATACAGTTAGTTAGTAATACAACATAGCTAATTGTTTCTAACTTACTTTAAATTTCAACAACTGCCAATAGAAAAACTCGAGAACGATTTCGTTTCAGGATTTAAATTCCGTTGCTTATTTTGACAGTGGGCTGGAAATAGTTTTAACACCAGCAATCTGCGTTACACCAAAACCTAATTTACTATTGTTTGGTAAAATAATACGAATTCGTTTTTAAAACCAATTCATTTGAAGATAAAAGAGATAGCATTTTAAAGAGACATTTCCTAGAGCAAACCAGCAGAGCATCTTTTCTCGAGAGTTTTAATTCTTGTCAATAGCCTGCTGAATTCTGCCATATTGGTTAAATACAATATCAATTGTCAGACATATGAACCACACAAATAATTAGTTAGAAGTGGCACTAGGTGTTCTAGAAACTTTCATACAACAAAATATCGAATTTATTGCTTTGAATTTCGCCGAATTCATGTCTCTTTATGGCAATGTTAAAACGCCTGTTATGATACACAATACTAAAACCCCACTAGAAACTTATAATTCAAACACATTTAGTTTTACTCTGCAGATAATTAGTTTCCTGTCTTACAATGCAGATCATTAAACATCTGTGTTATTGCTATCCTTATTAGGGCGAGGAGCCGTGGTTAGGAGGCTTGACTGGAAACTCTCGGGGCGTTTTCCTCTTTCCAGTTGTGCAGGACGGATTGCCTGGCAGCGACCAACGTCTATTCGATCGAGTGGACCGAAACATCGATGAGTATGAATTAGAAGTGTACGTAAAAGATTGCAACTGTTCTGATTTTAGAAATGTCTTAAAACTGTCATTTTGTAAATATTTTTATCGTTGTTACACGAGTCTAGACTTTGTCAGTACAGCGGAGTTTGTGTCTACACTTCTTCGAATTCAAACTGCTAAAACGTCTTGTATGTTCTATTCACTTGTATACAGACCTTACTTCGCCTTCAGTAGGACGTTAAACTCCATTTCATTTCATTTCATTACTTCGCCTTCTTTATCAACTCTTGCGTACCACCCCTGACAAGTGTGTTAACGAACCGTTAAACCCCAGTACCCTTTAGTTTTCAGAACTCTAGGAATATGTTTTCGAAGTAACACATATTCCATGAATTAAACGATAATAGTATCATTCCACGGTTCAATAACCTATGCTGTATAGTTTTTAAATAATTTATTTATTGGCGGGACAAATAATAAAACAGACCATAAAATAACTGGCGTGTTTTTCTTTCTGTAAATTCTAAAGGTTTCATTGATTTACAGCGGGGAAGTCAATCAGAGCCGGCTGTCACCACGTTTCATTACTGTACTGTTTTGTGAACAGTACTCTGTTTCATTTTATGTACCATGTAGTCGCTGTGGAAATGGTCGGATCAAAATCACTTTTGGTTTGTATTTACCGGCCTTATGAAAAGCGGATGTTGTTTCAACACCATAACATGTCTGGATGAGCAAGATTGGAGAATTTCTTTCGTTTCCATACTACATTTGGTACCTTTTGTATCCATCCATTAAAACGTGTTGTGGTTTAACTGCCATATGCATTAAATTGACCCCAGACAGCAAAAAGACTTCTTTGTATTATCAAAGTGAACCCAGAATCACCATTCGAGTAACACGAAATTACATTCGAAGCTAGGAGCCACTTGCGGTTGGTGCACATAATGGGATGCATGGATGAACCACATAATATACACGGGTATAAAGACATTTGTCTTTAAAAAATACCCATGATAGTATTCATCAAATGCAAGCGAGTGTTACCGACTGGAAAGTCCTAGAATACCCATTTCGCGTCCCCTCAACCTCCACCGTCACTTGGCCGATGTTGTGGTACGGAAGCGGGAAGAAAGGCTTCGTAAAACGTTTTGTCAGTTGTCACTGCTCTGGCATTGCAATAAATTCCCAATTTTGCTTGCACGGCATATTGTTATTTCGAATTCCTAGTGTGAAGGGTTCTTTAGTATGCACGCTAATGTGTACGCGGGGCCTATGTTTTTGGTCCTATTCGAACGATTAGACGATGTTCCTTACCAAGCCCCCTGTCTTCAACCACTGAAATGGGGAAACCTCGCTGTTTAATCTTGAGGAACTGTCTCGGCAAACATCTGGATCGCACTTGGGGTGTCTTGTTTACCGAGACAGCGCCTCACTCACCGAGTCATTGTGACTCCCCAGTGGTGAAAGTTTGTCTACTAAACGAGGGTGCAATAGTCAAGTGATTAGGTAACTGGAGTCTCAATTAGAATCTCCCGGATTTGAATCCGGTATTAATCGAGAAGAACCATAGGGATTTTTCACTTATCAGTAATAGCCTCGTCTTTCGGATGAGACAATGGATCAAGGTACCTATGTACAAATCAGTGAATATGTAGAAGATCCCTTGAAATTTGAAGATGCAGTTGCCCGGGTAAATTACTATATCTATTACAATATCCCATTTGTGCTGTACCCGTCCTTGATTCAGCACTCCAATCCATATGCTCTAATTGGATGTTAGTTCACTGCTGTACGGACGCCGATAAAAAAATAACATAATAAATGATGCCGTACACGAGGCAGGGTGCCAAATATTTTATGATTTCTCCAACAATTCACGCTGAATTTCTTTTAGCGTGGGGTATGCCTTTTAAATCACAGGTCCCAGTTCATATATTTTATGTGTACTGGCCAATTTCACAGTTCAAAATATGAAACATTTCCGATACTAAGGCATCGAAATGGAATAGAAAAAAAACAATCGTAAGCATATAAATATAATGAATATGTTTATTTGATCAATTTTTGTGGAAGTAGTATAATATATGTATATATAATATAAATACAAGGAGAGATGAAGAGGGTATTAACATTATGCATATTAAAATCTTTCTTTATAATAACATGAACATATATGCACTTTGGTAAGAGTTACCTTTCCGTTGTTATATATCTCTCTAGAGTTATCTTACATAATGGTGTACTCGCCTAAGAATATTCTCCCTTTAAGTAAGCCTTTAGCCTTAAGCATTTTATTGGCTTCAACAGATTAACAGTGCTTTAAGCTCTAAGCCATATTTCAAAATATAAAATCATGTGTCATTTAACAGACAAATTATTAATTGAGTTATTAATTTTCGCCTAAAATGTTGTTTTGTAACGTCTGAGTGTTACTAGAACAATCTCTGAATTTGTTCATAACGGAATTCTTTCCTGATTTAAGTAACTCTTTCAAGAGATATATACACGTACAGAAATGGTTGAATGGTGACATCATAACGATGGTTTTACTTAGGGTGTGGCATGATCAAGTTCAAGTTCTTATCTATTTATCATGTGCTATAATTATTTATTCTCTATTCTAAATCAACAAAACGTCATGAATGTGCCAGTCATTATGATTTGTTGATTTATTTATATACTGCAAATCATTTCTTCTGCTAAACTACCACATACAATTATTAAAAGGGTAGATGAATATTCATCCACTCTAGCGGTATTTTCGGGGATAAAGAAACAGGTTAAGGGTTTATTTTTTTCAAATTGACAAGCAACTTCATTGTAATTTTATAGTTATACATTTATGGACCAGTTTACACTATGTACACTATCGATTTTTTGTTTTTCCCCGGTAATATTTTCAGGGACTGTTTCAAAGTATCAATTAGTGATGAGAAAAAACATTGACCATGTGAATATCGTAATTAATATTAATAAATAAACAATCGTTCAAATTCTTTTATACCTTATTTTGATTTTAATATTATTTAGTTTATAAATATACTAATATATATATATATATATACATATAACTTGTATACATTTTATGCAGATTTGTTAAATGTGTTTACATAGTGACATGTGTTGTAACATTGTTTAAATTTTTATTATTTTAACCATACAATTAATACATGTACAATGCACATGATTACATTATATATGTGCAGTGTTTTATTCGCATTTACAATATAAAGTGTAACATGATAGTTGGACATAGTGTAAACATAATAATACTTAATGTGACATTGTTTACATACAAGGTATTAAATACAAGATACAATGTTAAAAATAAGAAATAATAACACAATTTTTAAAGAAATTGTTTATAAAACAAAAAATGTCTAATATACTAATAACCTTTTAATAATAAATATGTTTTTAAAATTACCAGATCAAAATTTGATTTTTAAAAAAGTATTTGCATATTTTAAACATTTATTTGACTTTTAACAACCTTCGTTTGAGTTAATATACATTAATTAAATAATAATGATAATAATTAATTAATAATTAATATTTTAACCTATTAAAACTATGTACAAATCATATAAATATTACAATTAATTTAGGGCTCATTTTTCACTCTGGTATAATCAATAATAAATAAATAAATTAAGTTAAATCAATTATGTATATCAAACTTAATATTTGACACGAGGATCCAAAACTGTAAAGCTCAAACCAAATTTTTCTCGAAACATAACATCTCCTTCAATAGTCCTTGAATTGTTACAAACTACGGAGTCTATGCATATGTTGCCCAATATCATTTTTAGCATGATGGTAAGAAGTGCTGTAGCTTTCGTTTTGGGGGTTCCAGGTGTCAGAACTTTGTTTTACAGATATAATATATATCATACATGCATGTGAAAATGGATGAAGTTAAATATTAAATAACTGAAAAAAAATATGTGAATATATGGCGCGAAAATATACCTGATTGAAAATACATCTAAATAAATTGATAGACAAAAAATGTCTTATAATAAGCCACAACCATGATGTCAAATAAATTAAGGAGTGAAAAATGAGCCAAGTGACAATAAATATCAACAAAAATAATCCCTAACACCTCGGAGATATACAAACGTCTCTATAAAATCACTGAGTAATCCGCCGGATGTGACCTTTGACATAACTTAGATGTTATGCCAGTGTCAACTTATCCCCTTGTAAATTCGCGAAAGTTCTCTCTTTAAATTAGCCAATCGAAATCCAAGGTTACAACCGGGGTGCCTTGATCTGTTGTTCTTTTGGGCAATTTTCGGTATTTTCCATATATAGGAGTAAGCCAAATCATATCTGTTAGGAGCAATTATCCATTACATAAATGAATGGAAAATAACCACACGCAGAGGACTGGTGGAGATTACCGAGTAATTTTTTCTAATCGACCTAAGCGAGGCACTAACTACAACAGACTAAAAACCAACAATTTCAAGTCTAAATAATACTGCTTAGATTGTCAGAGGTAACATAATAAATACTGATAATTCGTGAATATTATTAAAATACTAAAAATCTAAAACTTCTAATCGGTATACATTTGAGACTGGTTAGTCAGAGACAATTGTAGCAAAGTCCCTATTTTGCAGGTAAAATGGTCTTAAAGCTTTTTATTTTCATTGATAAACTGACAAGTGTTGGAATGCCAAGATAAAGAAAAATAGCCAACAAAGAAAAAGGACGAACAATATAAAAATATATATGTAATCAAAATGAAAATGAAACTAATTAAGGCGATAGTTGGTTCGTAATCTGTTGAAGAAAGTGCAAAGCTTAACCAACATTCAAATATATAGCGGAAGTAAATAAACCGCAATTGTCGGACGAGGAACTTATAAGGGGTAATATAGTCGATGGATTTCATTGGTAAACAACATTTGATAACAGCTTACAGTTTTAAAGATTAAAATTGACTTTGTTTCGTTGATATTTAAAAATATTCCATTTAATTTCCTTCGCATTATCAAAAACAAAACCAATTTCAAAACATTTAATAAATTTAACATTTTTAAAATAATAAATACTGTTCATTTGTCCATGTACTTGGTGAAAAAATGTTTTCTTTGAAATAATAATCATACTGTTCCAAATTGGTTTTAACAAGGCACTATATATAGATATGAAGCAATTTACAGTAATATATAGATGAACAATGTTACGTTCGCGCTTTAATAATGACGTGTTACACAAAGAATCATACTGAACGCCCTAAATTTAAAAACTAATGAAATAACATCCAGCTGTGGGACACGAGACCCCAATTACGCTGTCTTGAAACATTTCAAATAAGGCCATTGAAAGAATTTTGAAATATCTCATGGTCGTTGGATTTAGCACTTGGGACCGAGTTTTAAACAAACAACGCCCTCAGAGATAGGCCTACATGTAGGGGGGATAACTTTCAGCAGTAAACACGGTTAACATGTAAATCCCGACAACTATACACTACTTATCAGAAGCAATGATGGCGTATCTTATGTGATAAAATAATGTGATACTAAATATTAATAAACAATATTTAAACAAAATGATCTACCGACGAAAGAATAATATATCACTATTTACAAGTTTCGTTGAGACATTACGTAATGGGTAACTATAGCAACAATATGGCGCACCTAACTAAATGGCGGCAAGTTGAAGCTGATTGGACGGAACAAGACAAAACGTGGATACAATAACAGTTGCGTTATACACAGAAAATGCTGACGTAACATTTTATATAAGCGATACAACATAAATTTAACGTATTTACAATATCTTTTTTTGAGTTTTACAAATTTTACAAAATATGGTTCGTATAATATTTATTTCTTTGCATTGTGCTTCTTCTTCAAAATGAAAAAAAAACACATTTGCTCGCGATGTTTCGAACCTTCTATATCGTCGATGTTTAACAAATACATAACTATATAACCTAGTTTGTCCAATATGTCTAAATAATAAAAAAGGCGGACTCTCATGTATTCTTCAAATGCATACACAATAAATAAACAAATAAAACTATTACCATAAAAATATTATTACAGCATACGAGCTTTGAACTTGTATTCGAATTCGAGTTATAAATTCTTCCATAATTGACATCTTTCGAACCTAAAACTGGTACTCATTTTTAAATTAACGACTTAATAACTAACATTCTCTCCTTCTCGTGTGCATTCATTCTAAATTCTGACATTCTCACATGCAAACGAGATAAATTGGACAAACTATTGGATTTTTAAAGATTATTAAGTTATTTTTCATTCGTGTAACTATGACAACGAATCGCCCGTGTCGCCATGACAACGAGACAAGAGATTTCATATTTTCAAACATTCGCTACTTTTCGCCGGTTACTGCATTCGTTCTTGAATCTGCTGTGCCTGGTAATAATGTCCGGCTCCTGCTGCGATTGGTTGAGGCATAGCGTATGTATAGGCAGCTGGGACGTAACCGTTAGCAGCCGCCGAGGTGTAAGGATAGGCCTCGTAACCACTAGCAGCAAACTGTTGGGCATATGCTGATGAATAATCTACGGCATACTGAGAAGTGGTGGGTGAGAGTGGTGAGTGGGGAACCGCTAAAACTCCACCTGGTGCCGCAACGTAAGTTGATGGATAAACGTATTGTGGATACCTGCAACAGACAAAAAGGGGAAGATAAGTAAGAGTGAAATCATGCCTTATTTAGTTAGTTTATTAATAATAGTACAATTACTGTAAGTGTAACACATACAACATGTTCAAATGCAAAACATATTTAACAGGTTTTCACGCAACCAAAATGGCGGCTTTAATGATCACCCCAATAGTTAAGTAGGCCTATGGGTATGACGTCAAATTCAAAATGATGTAAATCTCAAAATGTCGTCAATGTTTTCCCAAAACATTGCACTAAACGTTGTTTAGACATGATAGATGTAGTTATCGTTCACACACTTCACTACGTGGGTATGTTAGCACTTGATTAAGTTACCTTTAATTAGATACGTGTTTTATCTGCTGTAGGTATGTTTTATTATCAGCTTTGGTTTATTAAACGTGTTTTGTAATAGAGTGTTCCGATAAAGGTTGTGTTAGACATGTGTTCTGTAAAGTTATTATCACTACCAGCCGTTAATTACATAACTTAACTTGATATTAAACATTTCACAAGTATTACATATTCATAAATAACAAAGCTTGAAAGACACTTTCATTCATTCATGCCTTAATAAAATTATTCGCCGAAGTCCTATGTTAATATAACTTAAACGTTTCTGTTATCAACACTAAATTTTGAATACAATGAGCAAGGAACAAAACAGAAATCAATTTTCATATACCCAGTGCAACGAAATTGTAAAAGGAAATATACTCTTTCTTGATGAACAGTTGTAATTCATGTTAGTGGAACAAAAAATGGTCAATAAATCTCAAGGCGAAAAAACTATCGAACAAAACAGAGCACTAAACATTGTTATAACCAATTATATTGTTAATCGATACAATATTTCTAATCTATATGCCTTGTGGATTATAAAATACAACTACCCCTTTTTAACATGGCATTACGGGAATCATAAAATGTAAAATATTGTAATTTCATTTTCTAACTGTTGATATAAAGAAGAATCCACGAATGAATCTTTGAATGAATCTACAATACGATAGAACAGCAATAATTTAAACATTTTTAAAATAAGCCGCGGGAAGAAGATATTTTGATTCACGGATGTAATCACAGTGGAAGGTAGTATTATATAAAAAATGTACTTTGAAATATAACATAACCTAGGACATTATATGTGACTTAAATATTTTTAAAATAAAAGAAAAGAAAAAGATAGACAAAAGCCCCCCCCCCCCTCAAAAGAAAAAACAAAAAAAACAACTCTCTATTGAATAAATTCGATATCAGAGATTACTTATATCTAACTAGGTTGTAACTCAGTCGGTCTAGAAATGGTGTATTTTAATAAAGAATTGATCAAAGAAGTAATCAAAGCAAACAATTTTACATAGATTAGAAAGAGTGAAAGGATTGCTGATTTAATACTTGACTTTTATAACCTATCGCTTTTCTATCAATTCATTAACTCTCATGATCAGTAGAGTAGTAAATTTGACGGTTTGAAGAGACATGCGTGCAATGGTTTACCAAATGTATGCATTTTGTGAAAGTAAAAGATGGAAAGAACATTGTACGTCGTCCTCTTCCCTTGATTTTGAATATGATTTCATTCTTACAAGTAAATTACACCTCATACATCGTAGTAAATACTAATCTGAGGACCATCGAACTGATTGGTAAGATAATGCAAATAGTTTCCTTTTAAACAAAATGTCCCTTTTATTTTATCACTCGAAAAAATATGTCTAGTAAGGTGGCTTAGTGCACGTTTATATTCAAAACGTAGTAGTAGTATATCTTATTAAGGTCATCGATATTAAGCTTAAAGGAGAAAAACAGATATTTCTCACGTTAATACGAGTCAAATCTGTGTGGAAGACCCCTAGAACCCTTAATTATAGTCCCAAACAACTATCTGAATCTTTGTGACATATTGTCAAACAAACACAAAGATTGCTTGTAGCTGGATAAACTTTCTATAGTTCAGTGTATACTTTCATTTTGTGATAATCTTCAGCGAGAAAAAGAATTTTGCAGGTTAAAGCAACCTACTTTTTAATTACCCCTCGATAAAGTTTACAAAGGGTATCGAACAGTCGTGTCTATCAAGTCATTCAATGAAAAATTGATGGTGACTACTTCTTATAAAATGTCCAGAATTCTTAACTTTGTTTTCAAATGAACCAATGATTGCATACATTAAATCAACTACACCTTCGGTGCAGAGGTTAACATACTGAATACTTCAGTCCGCGGAGAAAGTCACAGCCCAATAATAAATATACGGTGTACAAACTATGTCAATAAGGTGGGATGTTTATTAAAATGTGATCACGTGATTTTCCAAAGCCCTTTAGATACTTGACATCAATTCACCCTCATTATCATATATTCATATAATAAGGGTCAAAAAGCGAAGGGTCGTGGGATATCTTAAGTCTAACGATCAAGTTCTGTTTTTAGACACGCAGGTCACAGCTCATGAATCAATTAAACTTTAACGCGAATAACTCATCCTCATGACTCAAGTAACAACTGAATCATCTCTTTATGACCATTCTTAGAGTGATGATTCTTAATACTTTAGCTGTGTATATTTAAGAAGAATTCAAATTCAAGCCTAACCCATTTAGACAGTATCACGTGACCCCCAAAATAAATCTTATTTCAGAGCCAATGACCAATGAAGAAATAATATTATTATTCGTTTGGGCATATTTATCCATAAATCTTTTCGTTAAGAAAACATGTTTATTCGTAGTTGTTGGTTAAGGAAACATGTTTTTTCGTAGTTGTTGGTTAAAAAACCACCGTGTTTATTAGTGAATATATGGTAAAATGCATTTAGATCCAACGGCTTGCAACCATATGTTGCACAATAGCTCAAAAAGTTACCGTAGTCCTACTAAGAATCTGGACAATTTGTCTCACGCTATATTAAAAGTCATCGTGGAAAGTAAGTGAGCACTAAAGGCTTCATAGACGTTCTAGACGAATCTAGACTAGTTGGTGGACTATACGAATCCAACAATAAAAGGTAACATTTTACACGATTGTTTGGTCATCGACATGAAGCGGTAAAAGAATTTCGTTAAAGAGGCTTCTGCCAGCTCTTTGATTTCCTGATAAACGGTGGCATACACGGAAGTCAGATGACAGTTTACATCTTTAATTGTCATGTTGTAGAAATATAAAGTTATTTTAAATCTTTACAGAAGTCAAGATAAATAAAACCCCACATATGAATACGAAATGAGAACCATAATAAGATGCGCGTCCATTTAAATCACTACTGAAACATACGTATTAAGTAGAATGAGGTGATAATGTCGATCATTACTTTAACTATGTAAATGTATCACATTGTATACCAGATACAAATGTAGAAAAACTTATCACAGTATAAAAACACAGAATGATAACCTGGTAGCGCGTGCTGCTGACATATAATGCTACATTTTACAACTTTTGATGACGCAATAGAAAGTTGAACGCAGGAGTAAAGCCTTGCTATACGTAGTTTCAGACTTACTAACAGAGTTTAACCATTGAAATAATAGATTTAACAGTTCGTCAGATGCATACATTTTAACAACGATCACAAATCAACGCTGTGGCTGAAGTTGAAATATCTGACGCTCGTGCTTAATGAGATTAGCAGACGGCAAATGTCGGCCATATTTGTTTTTTTATGGATAAGCAGACGTGAGTGTAATTCATTAGGTCCTAGAAAAAAATGCCCTCCGACAGAGATAGAAAGAAAATATCGTTACTGAAGGACAAATAAATGAGATTATTGGAATTTATTCAAGTTACCTCGTGACCTCTGTTGTTGAAAAATTACAAAGGGTGGATGTTTGGATTATGTCTGTTGAGCAGCGATAGTCCTTGTTAAAAGATTCATTTATCAATGACACGGAAAATCCCATACATTTGTCCAGCTATGGACAATATCCCACCAAAATAAAACGAAGAACACCACATGACAACAACAAAGCTGAAAACTGAATTTGTCTACAAATTTAGAAAAAAATGCTGATAATCTTTTTCGTCATGACAACGTGATATTTAGAAACAGTTTGCTATTTAGTTTATTATCCCTTTTCAAAGCAGAAAGTGTTAAACAGAAATAAAAAGTTGTATATTTATGTATATTTTAAAGAACAAAGCAAGGATTTGTATCAGAGACAATAGAAAGGACTCCCAGTCTACTCGAAGTATTAAGAAAATAGAAAGGAGACTGGCTTTGGATGTTGCTATAGTCACTATTAAAACACTCGCCAGGTCACAATTTCTAAAGAAGAACAAGAAACAAGTTAGACTGGGGGTGAAATATTCCTTTAATGGGAAGTTAACACTCTTTTAGATACGTATAAAACGTCTTGCGGGCCAGATAAGCAGACAAATGCAGTCATATTTGTAAAAATTGAAACAAACCCAAAACAAATGGTGTTTAACGCCCTATGTTTCTGCGCCCAAATCACAGTAACATGTTTGTTTTGTCGAATCTCGAAAGAAGTGTGAGATTCCGTATATCAATGATCAGTGCGAACCTACATTTACATACCGTAAATATTTATAAAATGATAACCTGACTTTTACAACGGCAATTAAAAAGTTCAGCACTACGGGCACTTTTATATTAAAAGAAACCTCAATGAAAAGCAAACCCATTGCGTAACTAATTCTTTTAACTGGATCTACGATTGCTTGAAAGCACGCATCTTGTATTAATATTAACAGCCAATCGTTTGTTTTTTCAATGTCGATATTTTCACCAAATTAAACAATTTGATATAAAAGCCGATTACCAACTAATCAGAAATTCAAATAAACTAAACTAAAAACTTGTTTGGATATTTTGGACGAAAAAACTAAAATGATTTGCTTAACACATGAACAAATTTGGGTTTTTTTATTTGTTCGTGGATTAAGCAAATCTAATTTTTGTGTTAAATATTCAAATAATGGCGGATTACATAGAAAAACTTTATTTCTCCAACCGAGATATGAGATCGAAATCG